TATTTCAACTTTTGAAGCAAGGAAGTCTGCATTATTTATTCCGTGTGTCTTTCTCTAGCAAGACCCTGTCTGCATTGTCCTGTTTCAAAAGGTTCTAAAAGGCTTTTGTTATTTCTTGGAAGTCTGGAATTTCTCCTTTTCTACTTCTTGCAGATTTTGGACATTGCTTTTGAAAGCAACAGAAAGCATTTCTGCAGTGATAAAAATACATTTTCTACATTCATGAATTCATAAATTTTAACACCAAAGGAGACCATTTCATTCATCCAGCCTGAGGCATTGACAGATTTACTGCACAGGAGCTAATGGACTGGTGCACAGTCCCCTTGGGACAACAGAAGATAATTCATGCAGCTCTTCAGCCTCCCTCCTCATCACCATCTTGAGGGCAACCACCTCAGAGCTCCCTTGTCTAACACAGACCTTGTCTGCCATCCAACTTGATAGAATATTTATTTAAACACAACATTTTGGAGAAAGCCAGACTGCTTTCACAAAGAAAGCAAAGGTCAGGACACCCCCATCACCCCAGAGCAACTCTACCACGTCTCAGTGACCCCATTTGGTCTCCCAGCAGCATCAGACACAATGAAACAGTTGCTGCTATCCCCACACTCATGTTTTATCCTTTACCTGCCCCGTTCTCCCATCAGGATGTGAAGCACTTGGCCTCTGGGGCTCAGGTTATGGCCTCATAAAGCAGGATGGCAAGATTATTAATGTGGCAGAACTGCAGGATTTTCCAAGCAATTTATGAGTTGCCATGGCAGTTCATTAGCTCTCAGCCCAATGACTCCTTTCCATCAAGCGCGCACACATCTAAACACATGATGGATGTTCACATGAAAAATACATCTGAGGACACATTTCCTCCATCTTGTCCAATCTGTGTCTAACAAAGGCAGGACAAAGTCACCAGTTATCAGCACTGATAGCCAACCCACCGAAACACACCTAAACACAGAGAAATTCACAATCCTCATATTTTTTTTATTTTTTTCTTATCAGGCCATTTCTGACCAATTCCTATATTTAAAGAATAGGAGGTACTTAGCAGAGGGTTTACATGTTCTGGTGGTTGGGACGGTAGGCACTCTGGTTTGATCCCTTGACTTTCGGTGCTAAGAATAAGGTTTCTCTTTACACGCAGACAAGCCTCTCATCCCCACTCAAGAAAGTATTTGAGAAAATATTTAACTTTCATGGTATTTATGCATGGGCCTTAAAATAAAGCACACACTTAAGCACTTCCTTGAATCCAAGTGGCACTATGCGCATGAAAAAAATTCAACACAATGTTTTAATATATTGCTGAGTTAGGGCTTCAGCAGAGGCCAAAAAATCAAGTCTAGTATACTAGAGAGGAAAGAGATTTAGTGAGAGTCTTTGAGGGTTATAAGTGGACAATTAAGAAAAAGGAAAAGGTCAGTAACTTTTATCAGTAAGTACAAAATGACTAGCAAGCTACCCACAGATATTACAAATACAGTGCTTTATACCAAAGAAAGACAGTGTGATAGGAGGATAGCAAGGGAGGGGGGAACTGAAAGAGAGAAATATGTCTATTAGTTCTTTGTTGCACTATTTTTCTCAGTTGCGGTAATACTCTCTTATTTGCTGCTATCCTCTAAAAGTTTCAGGGTATTTTAAAGAAAAGGCATAGCGAAAATTTTGTATCTCCCTCTAGTTACAGCTGCTGCACTCAGAAAGCCACCTCACCGTGTGCTATATGCTTTTCCAGAATTAACTTGCCTTTTCCTTTAAAAAAAAATCATTAATGTATTTATTAATGGAGTAATGAGACCCATATACTGGAAAATCCCACCTTCCACACCATCTCATTAGCTAAATCTGGCCTTGGACCAAAATTTACTGTTTCAGCTCATGCCAAAGTTTAGGTTTGGAATGTTTTTACATTGGAGGATTTTTCATCTGATGCCTTGGGTGGGCTAATGGGACCCTAATGCACAGGAGCAATTGCCATTGTGTCAGGTTGCCACTTGTTTCAATCACCTTGTACATACACAGTGTACAGTGGTAACTTGTAACATTTCCCTCTCAGCTAAGTGATGCCAATAAGCATTTACTGCAAGATTCAAAGGGATATAATATGATATGGAGAACCACTGACTCGAGACAATCCCACTGGCTGGACTAATTGCAACAAATTATTCAAAAACTACAACTAGTCAAAAAGTGAGATGACATCTTTATTAAAAACCAGATTCCTCAACAAAACTGTGTATGTCTGGCAGGAATCCTCATGTCCAATAAAACACAGAACCTCCAAGAAATTTGACTTAAAGAAGTCAAAGCTGTTGCCTCATCCATTTACCTCTTGGAGATGCAGGACAGGGCTCAGCTCCTGCTGTCAGGCTGGAGAAGAACAGTCTGTGTGTGCTGACCTGAGAGACTCGTGCAGATGTTCTCCTGCCAGGGGATAAGTCACCTCACTAGCTGTTCACTAGTCATGGCTCTGTACAGCCAACACCAGCATTAATGCCTGCCACAAAGTCCACCTCAGCAAAAGGGACGTGATTTCTGCTAACAACACATGAGTTTTCAATTAATATTACCCTTCATCACCTCATAAATTACTCTCTCAGCAGATTTTTTCCTATGAATTGCTATCAGCAGATTATTCTCTTTTTTTCCTCTTTCCAGCCCTTCCCCTGCTTAGGCACCAGAGTTTGGCTGCCCTGTCCCCATAACTACTGAAATTTCTCATATGGGAAATGTGTATGTGAAGGTCCCCCTACCCACACTCCACATCCACACATATGCTCACTCTCATCAGCTCTTTTGAGGCAGCACAGTGGGGCAGTAACACTGGTCAAGAACACATGGCAGGTTTTGTCACAGGTGGGGCCAGTGGCATGGTCCAAACTGCAGAACCATGGCAGAAACCATGGTTCCATCCAGAACCATGAGAAGGGCTGAAGTGATGTTCAGGGAAACCCATTTTGTACGTCCATCGCATTTCCCAGTCTATGCCAAGGTTATCCTGCATCTTTCACTGCTCTTCAGTGAACACCAACAAAGCCACACCCTGTGCTCCAGGGATCAAGTGTTTCCAACTACAAGAGACGGGGAACAGGTGTACATATTTAGGTACAGGTCACAGGAAAGTGGAGTCACGTTTGTCAGTCAAAGCCCTTTAATCCCCACAGGTTTTGTGAAGGTAGGAGAACATCATTCCAGGAGCAACAATGCATGCAGCTTGATGGAAATTTGAAACAGAGACATCCAACAGGAGGTTTTCTACGCTGCAATTGTTCTCTAGACCTTAAGAACATGAAATTGCTTGGGTTTATAATTTCTTTTAAAAGAATGCCAGGATTTACTCCTGTCCAGAATGAGCACATGGGATGGGTATTTGATTTCTTGTTTATTTAGTTTTCACATTTCTAAGGATTTTGCAGTTTGAGGGATGAAATATGTGCCTGATGATCACAAAATCCAGCTCAGAGACATGTCTGAGATCATGGTTTTGAAAAGGAGCCATGGCAACCTCCAAAGGATGAGGCAGATTTCACCCACTAAAAAGCAAAACATGCCATTTTGTGCTCTCCAGTGTGAATCATTTCCTGATGCAGTTAGGCTATGACTGGGAAAGTTAAGGTTGGATTAAGAGATCATTAATGCCCTTTGTAGTGGACTTTGAGACCAGGACCACAATGACAGAATAAGGCTGCAGAGGCCTTTGAAGGAGATATCCTCTTGGAAATACATTATGGGGCTCTGGTTTGTCTCTAGATTTTTGAGTTATGGAGCTCCTGTTTCACTGCATTGCTTTGGTTTCTGCCAAATCCCCATGAGAATAAGCTTCTCTCCAGTCTCTTTATAAGAGACTTCACATCACCCTCCTGGTTAGAATATTCACAAGGCTTTCTATGGATAGCCTTGCTATTTCTTGCTACATCATTTCAAACAAAAACAAAGAAACAAAAAAAATTCAACCTTCCTGCCATGCCTGCCAAATCATCAGCCATGCTACAGCAACTATAGAAAATGCCATGGTGACTCCGTCTCAAACACCATCTATCAGCTTCAGCACGCTGCAGGTACACACAGAGATTGACCCACACACTTGTTGTTGTCTGAGGACACAGCCAGAATCTCCTCTACTACAGCCACCTACTCAGCAGATTCAAAAAAGCACCAGAATTTCCTCTTCCATGTGGACATAGAGAGGAAGGGAGAGACTGAGCCGATTCTAGCAACAACTATACAAACAAAACCCTCAAGTAAATATTTTCAAATATATCAGCTACAGATGACCACAATGTCATCACTGGAAGCAGACAGACCTGATGTTGTTTTCATACCACAGAGCTCAGAGAGGAACAATTTTTCCTCTGTTGCAAAATAAGATGACTGGTCAAGTAGGAGCACAGTGTCTGCTCAACACTATGGCTTCAGCCCCAGACCAAGAGCTCCAACTGCTGGTTTTTGTTGGTTGTTTTGGTTTTTTTCAAATATCAATGTTTTGTTAGAAAAATGTTGCAATATTCACCTGAGTTTTTTGGAAATTATTTTCTACTAATGCCATGGATAAGTATGGATTGGTGATTGCCGTATTCTACTGCACCAAATGAAATAGAGAACAAAGTAGTAAGGATTCTGCTGATAACCACAGCTCCACTGCAGTCAAATAAACAGCAGGATGCCAACAGTCAGGATGTGAACATCCACTGAGTAGATTGATTCCACCACCAGATTTCCCTGCCTTGCAGAGGCAGTGTTGAATGAGTTAACAAAATATCATTTCCATGTTTTCTGCTTTTCCTATCAAGTCAATGAGTAGAAAAAAAGAGAGAGAATTAAACCACTCAGGTGATCCACAGAGCTCTCCCCTGTTGACCAAATAAGAATAACCATGAGGAAACTGGAAGCTCGATGACTTTTTATGCACGATTACAAGTCTTGTTCCTCACACGCCACCGTTCATCAAACACATATCCCAATGAGAGTTAAAGTAAGAGAATCTTGTGGCTCACCACAGGTGTAGATGACATTAAGATGCTTTCGGATGCCCGGGTAACAGGGATCTCCAAATTCGTAGGTGCTGGCATATATGCTGCAACTTCTCTTCCCGTGACAGTGCTTGATCATGAGTTGAAGAGCAGTAGCTGACTGACACTCTGAAAAGGAAAAAGGATACCTACTTGTGAATATTGCTTTAGTCATATCGGAAATTGTATATAAAAAAAAAATTGCTAGATGCAGACAGTGAGAGCACATACATTTGAGCTTTCCATGAGTATTTAAAAATCTTTTTGCTTACATGGAAAGGTGTATCTGACTCTCAAACACCTCTAATAAATTGTAAATTGATGAAAGAAAGTTATCAAAAAGAACAGTGAAGAATCAGAGACTCCCATACATCCATAGAGAGAAGGCTGCAAATAAAAGATGGGTCATTTTCAAAGGGAAAAGGCTATCCATAATAAAATTAATTCCTTCTCACCTGGCATTTATTCTATAAAGGTCTGAAAGAACCTTGAGAGAAGTATCAGTATCCCCATTTTAACAGATGGAGAAACAGAGTCATAGAAAAATAAAAAGATTAACAACAGCAAATCAGTGCAGAGCATGGAAGAGTCAGACCTTAGGAGTCTCACACCAATGTATTTATCCAGAAATACTACAAGCTCCCCCATAAACTAAGAGGCTGTCATAGGAACAGTGAATGCATTAATACTACAGTTATAATATCCATATGGAATTCCTGTAGATTTATTTAGCCGTCTGATAATGCAATCAATTGCAGTAACATGCAGAGTTAATAGCAAATTCCCACCTCACAGGTGTAAGGGAGATGGATATTGTCATGTTGTTCAGGGAAGGCTAAAACTCTGATTTGATTTGGGTGTGTTGAGATTTTCCAGGTTTTGCTTGTTTCATTTTGAGAGGAAGAGATAGAGAGAGTTTGGTCAGGCTTTTTTAGCCTTTGTTATGTCCAAGAGAATTTTCTCAAGTCATCATCTAGGAAGCTAGAGCCTCCTTCTGCAGACAGAGGTGATCAGTGTCCCAGAAGGTGTTATATTTCTAAGTCTAACAAGTGTTACTAGGAGGTCAAATAATTATAACGTTAACATCTACCATCTAAGTAGAAATATTCCTCTAATGATGTTTATTCCATGCAAGTAGAAATGTCATATTCTGGATTTTAAAATATGCAAAGCTCCAAAAGTAAATATTTACAGCTTCCCAAGGAAAGGAAGGGGAGAGGGAGGTGCTGATCTCTTCTCCCTGGGATTCAGTGGTAGGACATGTGGAAATGATTTAAAACTGCACCAGGGGAAGTTTACACTGGACATTAGGAACCAATTATTTACCAAGAGGGCGGTCAAACCCTGGGACAGGCTGCCAAGAGTGGTGGCCAATGCCCCAAATCTGTCAGCGTTTAAGAGGCATTTGGACAATGCCTTTAATAATGCACTTTAACTTTTGGTCAGCCATGAAGTGGTCAGGAAGTTGGGCTATGTCATCATTGTAGGTCCCTTCTAACTGAAATATCCTATCCTATCCTATCCTATCCTATCCTATCCTATCCTCCCAAGTACTATTTTCTATCAGATAGTTTGAACGTATTTTCTCACCTAAGGTGAAAATTATTTGTACAGACAAGCTCTCAGACTTTTAGGTGCTAGACAGTTGGCTTTGACTGTCCAGTCAGGGCCAAGCACAAGGGGAAGTTGGCAGGAAAGTATTTCGTCAACATTAAGCTGTTGCTAAAAGGAAAGCTACAGAGAAAGGAATTCAAACCCCTTTTGGTCACTAATCAGGAGGTAGGAAAAGGAAAAATGAACTCCAAAAGGTATTGAATGCCAGAACAAAATAAACAACAAAAGCCATAAGAGACACAAGAAAGCCACAAAAAACTAAGCCTAGAGGGCAATGTGTCCTTTTTTTCAAATCAAATGCAGTGTTTTATTTCACATGCTGCAAATGACAAAAGAACAGGGTCCCATGTGAGCATTTCCATACTGAACCACCCAAACTTCCTCAGGGGATTTTTGATCCAACGAATGTCAGAGGTTCCAGTGGAAACATCTGGCATGCAGCAATCCCGCTTTATTGTCTTTTTGTCAAATGTCCAGTTGGAGAAACTCATCAAATCTAAGCACTGCGCAGGATTTCATGGAGGGCTCCTATTCTTTCTATTTGTTATTGTTCTCATGCAAAACAGACGGCACCCCACAGCTGTCTGCACAGGGGCCTTGTCCTCTGGCACGGCAGCACCCTACCTCCGTGGGAGGGTGAGGAATTGCCCATTACTGCTCCTGTCAGAGGCACGACCAGTCTTTTGTGTACATCATTGCCAGAGATGGTCAGCCTTTGGGACACTCCTCTTGTAAGACAGAGTGCTGTCAAACCACACACTCTGCCCTCCATCATAACAAACTGGATTGACTCTTCAGGTGCCAGATCTGTAGATTCAGTGCATTGAAAACATTTATAGGTGTTTTATCTGTCATATACCCTCAGACCAGCCTTTCTAGCCATCACCAGTCATGTCTGGTCATTGATGACCTCCCTCCTCCAAAGCAGATCTGAGTCTCCATCCATATTGACTTCAGCAGCATCATCTGCTCTAGATAACCAAACACAGCTCAAATCTGGACACTCCATTATACCCCTTGTTAAAATGCTTGTTTTAAGTGGAGGTTTCTTGTAGTACTCTATTTCCTTGGCTCTTGCAGCAAACAGCTAATATTTAGGCAATTCTTTACAGTTGCCACTGACCTCCAAACTCTAATGAGCACCAAAATCTGTTGAATGCAGGAGTGGAAGAAAGTAATCTGAGGTACCCATGTTACAAGATCCAGCTAAACTCTACTGATATCAGGCTCCCACATGGTAAAACCAAATAGTCTTTGCACTTTCCCCATGATAAGGCCTGAGCCATTCTCTTGGAATCAGTCATATTCTTCCAGCCCTGAAAAAAAAGAAATGGGACCTATGGACAAAATTTGACAAAGTATTCAAAGACTTCCCCTTGGCCACAACAGGGAATTTTCCCTGGTTTTCCCTCTACACAATTTCTAAGCACAAATGCCTTGTGCATTCTCAGAAATGCCAGGGCAAGCAGCCAGCAGTACTTTGAGGGAGGATTACACCTATACTGAAATTAGCTATGTCTCCTCTCTTGTTTTTTTTTTGACCTGTCAATGTGTTCATCCTCCACATAACACATTGAACTGAAAAATGCAAGAGTGGCATCAAAACCTCCAAATGGGACCATATCCCTTATACACTTCAAAGGATTTGTGACAAGGAGGTCATTTAGCTGGATGCCAAAATCTCTTATTCAAGCACCTTTGTTCCTTCACTAACTGGCACTGAAGATGTCAATAATGCATCTGACAGATCGCTGAGTGACAGATGAGGCTACAGCACTCTCATAAATCACAGTCACCACCATGTCATTCACAGCTCTAGAAGTGACAGTGTGGTATTTTTGTTTGCCCCCATGTCTCAGGAGTATACGAACACTCAACCTCACTCCTGTTGACTGTTATGAAATGCATGTAGGTAATTTAACTTCCAAATGTAAACAAGACCTTAGGGAACTGTATTAAGGTGAGATCTCCTGGTACATCTTCAAGAGGTGAATCCAGGTCAGAAGTTTTGACCCCCAAGTGCCCATTCCTATAGCTCAGAGAGGGAAGAAAACAGCGGCTCTCTTATCCATAAATCATGCCGTTACCCTCTCAGAAACATGCAGGAAAGCCAAGTCCAGAAATGTGGTAGAACAGAGTTGGGCTATGGTCCTCTGCAGATGGCCAAATTCACATTTTCCAGGTCTTCAGAAGTGCGAGGCTAGATGTGCTGCTCTTACCACACCAGATGGCTCGCTTATTCAGGGCAACATCTCTTTTTTCTTGCTGCTTTTTTCTTGCTAAATGCAAACTGTGGATGTTATACGAAATACCATCCTGACATCGGTGACAAACAAGCGATCCCATGTGTCAGAGATGTGAGAAGGACAATCGCAAATGCCAACACCATATCATCGAGTCTGAGGTAAGTACTGCGAAGCAGAGCCAGGCCCCTGCCAAGAACCTTTTAAAGCCCACAGAGCTCAAATCCCACAGCAAAGCAATAAAAACCACTTCAAGACCTCACAGATGATAGAGGGCCCATTTACACAGGCTGGGCCAGAGTTACCCCCTGCTTTCATTAGATTGCTTCAGTACGAATCCTGGCTACAATGAAGGTTTCACATGTGAAAGTGTTTAAAGGTATCAGCTGTGCTCCTGGAATACGGTATTTTAAGCTAAAACTTGAGTTTGGAGGAGAGTGGGATCAGCTTGCCCTATCCTCTTTACTCCCAACCTCATTTTGTAGAAGTTGCATGTCCCTCCAGCCTTGCTCCTGCTGCAAGGTGAATTCCCTTTCACAAGATCACTCCACAAACACAGGCTGCTGGCCAGCTTCATTTCACAACTCTTAGTCTAACTCCCCAGTAGGTAATTCATCTTACCAGCTGCATTTAGTAGGATATTACTTCCTGATCTAAGGTCTTTATCAGCCCAGCCTCTGACAGGGTAAAACCCAAATCAGATGGCAGCAAAGCCACGCTGGAGGATTTTACCGGCTGCAGCTTGCAGACAGCATTGGCTTTAAAACTGGAATCAGTCTCCGTGATGTAATGTCCATATCATCAAGCTCACCACAATGAATGGGTTTTAGTCAGCTTAAGGCTGCTTCCCAGCATGACTATTTCTTTATTACCTCTTCCTGGTGAAAAAAATAAATTGGAGCCAATGCCTGTTAATCACATCCGTTACTTTGGTTACTCACTATTACTTGTTTTTCTCCAGTAAGGGTGACACATCCAAATCTGAAATCCAAGCCATACGTTGCTGCTTTTGATTGCAAAACCTATCTGGGTCTGAAAGGATGTTTCCAAACAGTTTAAATTTTGCATTACAGTAACTCATAGATGCTCTGGTGAAGACCAGAGCCTCTTCCAAGGCAGCAGTCATCACAGATGGATCCACAAACAGATTTAGGCACCTAGTTTTGAGATGGGTGACTAATCCCACAGTGACGTTGGGCATATGCCAGATGCCGAAAAACATCTGTGCATCTGTAACTTCCTGATCATGCACAGATGCCACATCCATACTGA